TGTAGATAAATATTGACTAATTCTTCCCTGCTAAGGTGTAGCTCCATGCCTTTTTGTTTGTATATGCATTTATTATGAAGTTAAGGATTTTTCTAATACTTTTATAACCATGCTGTTCAACATAAATTACAAATATGTGACCTCATTTTGTGGTACATTCTGGGATAGTCTATACAGACATGCCATGTCCAACTTTAGTTTGGTTTATTAATTTTGTTTACATATAAGCTCCATGAGCTTAGTTACCAAAGAGTCTATTACTGTTCCTACCTATCTCACCAGTTTACCATTTTCTTTGATTTTTAGAGATTTATTGTTACTACTATCATTTTTTTAAAATGCTATTATTATTTTAATTGCATCATATTAATCATAATGTCAGTAATAGTGATATCAGTACCCATATTGGTAGCCCCCCCCCAAAAAAAAAAAAAAAAAAAAAAAAAAAAAAAAAACTGAAAATTCCCAGAACCGGAGGATTAGGTATCACACGGGCCACTGATTACTCCTTGGTGTCTGAGCACATGTGGAGCCATCTCAGTGTAAACAAAATTCATGAAGCAAATTTACACCAGTGGCTTGATGATGAAATTCCTAAGTCATAAATTATGATATAGAGTTTTATGAACATTGAATTTTTATTAGAAGATCATGTGAAGTCTCAGGCATGTTTGAAACTTTGACTACCTATTTAGCAACTGTAGCTCTAGTTTTTGCACTTCAAAAGCAAATAATTGGCATAAGAATGATCAATATTTGATATTTACTGACTAGATAGACTATGTTGTTTTGTAAATTGTCATAGAAAAGTGGGGGAAGATTTTCATTTTTTTTTAAACTTCTTTCTTCATCTTTCCCTCTCCTTTGCCTATATTGTGTGAGCTTTCTCTTGTTTTTGTTTTTCCACAAACAATAATTTAAGAGATGGTCAATGAGGAGATGGATTCCGGAGAAGCTGATTAGACACATTAGTGTACAGACTATTCTGTTGAAATGTGTATGTATTTATAGGTAATTCTGGAAGTATTTACTATCACATGAGTCTATGCACATACTTGGATCCCATTTTCATCTTGCCTTTAACCCATTGCTGCCGGGGATGGCATGTACGTACATGCCATGCCCACTGTGAGTCGACTTGTTCAATTGTTTTTATACATAGATGGCTACACTTGTACTAAGTATCCAATGAGCCAATTACAGTACTGCCTGTCTCGCCCGTTCACCCATTTCATCGATTTACGAACATATTTAACGTTATCCTAATTTGCTGTTAAAAATATCATTTATATTTATAGCACTAGTAAGAATACGTTTTTTCCTACCAATTCAAGGAAAGGTGAAATCAGGACTAGCAGAGCCATCTATGGACAGAGATATTTCACAAAAATATAAAAAATGAATACAGAATTTTCCCCATTTTTTTTTTTTCATTTTCCCTGGCGGCAATGGGTTAAGACTAGAGAGCTTATATATATGTATATGTTTTCATATAAAAGAAAAAAAAAATTGTCAGCTTTTACAGCATTTTGTCATACGTTTGACTCTGCAAGATTTGAAAAGACTAGGCAGTGGGAGTTTGTAATGCAAAAGATATTTTGCTGAAGGAAGATAGGAATCCCATAGAATGGTAGTTGGGTGCATTTGTCTTGGGTCTTAAGCAGGTTTGCTAATGCAAAGATATTGCAGTCTTTATATAGGAAAGCATTAACTGTAGTAGGATGCATGGCAGGATATATATAAACTTAGCAACACCCCTCTCAAATTGTCTGAATCATTTTTATGCATAACATTTTTACAGAACTTCATTGCTAAATAATCATTACATACAGAAACTATACGCATTGAAGCAATATGATTTGAAAGGCATTATTGCAGACATTTCGTACACGATACATTTTTAGCCGTCCGCAAAGTAAAGTATAAATTGTGCCTTACTAGATTCATTTACTAGGGACAAAAACTATTTTCACTATATTTTCAAGGAAAAATTCACCCACAAGATATACTTTAGCTCTTATAAGTGATATCAATAAATACTGATGGTAAAACATTGGTAGTCTGGCTGAATGGTGCAAGTGACATGTCAGTATCAAGTATAGATTAGTATATATTAGATAAGAAAAAGACAGATTTAGACAGTTTAGGAAGTGAGTTATGAAGTAGGATTCCATAATCTGCAATGAATTCTACTGTAGGTGCCTGTATAACTATAGGAGTAAGGTAATCAGTGACATTTATCAAAGAAAAACTTACGAAGCTGAAAATATGAAAAGAAATGCTAGGGTTGTTTGTTATTTGGCCCTCTGGAAGAATGTGTGTCGGGGAGGAGTTATTATTATTATTATGAGGGACTGAATGTCTTGAACATTACTCTGTATATCTTAGTGTTTCTTAATGCATAGTAACTATAAAGTGCAGCATTGTTATCAGCTTCATGTACATGCTGGACGGGAAAACTATCTCTATCTAATATGTTCTAAAACTAACAGTGAGGATTACATTTTTTCTATATTTCATTTAATCCAGTGAAAGGAATGCCATTAAAATAGTTATTTAGTGATGACATTCTTCATTTTCATCTCCAGACTTCTGGAAATACTGTGTACTTCACATATTTATTGTTTCTGTATATTTCTTGTTAAATCATTGCCGATGGGCATGCCGTGCCATGCCCACTGTGAGTACTTGTTTGATTGCTTTTACTCATAGACGGCTACACTTGTACTAAATCACCAATGAGCCAATTACGAGTACTTCCT